AGTTCCCTTGACTTTCAATTTACGTGTGCTCTACCACCATCAACCATGGAGTCTACACATTGTGTACATGTATCAAAATATTACATGTACCTCCAAAATATGTACAACTACCATATAGCAATAATTTTTAAAAATCCATACAGTCTAGAAGGAGCCCTAAAGATCTGGGTAAAACAGCCTTTCGTTCCCTGAGCTATCCCTATCTTTCCATCAAGAGAAGAGAAGAGTGTGGTGAACCAACAGTAAAATGACACCCTTCCCCCAAAAGGAACCTATGACTGAAGTCTTCTACCAGCCATCAGGATCAAGAAGGAGCCCATACTACCTCTCTACCCAACCTCTTCAAACACTCAAGGCCTCATCTTATTTGCCTGAAGTCTACTAGGGTCAATCTGATAATGACTTTCTCCCTGTTTTTATGTCAGTCATCAGGACTCCAGGTCCATCCTCACCTGCCTCATCCCCCCACAGTTGTGAACCTCCCCTATTATGTCCACACCTGCCGCCCCTCCCCTTCAACAGCTGAAAGCCTTCCACTGTGCTCTGAGAACAAGGTGCAATGTACCCCATTCTTTTCTCTGAACATCTCTTCTGATTCTTGTTCCAACAAAAACGTAGATCGACCTTGAAACCCACTGTTTAATCTGTAGCTATCTCAATGTTACTTTGCTACCACAGCTCTTGTATCACTGGGTATGGAAATGAGGTAAGTTTCCTCATTCCTCAGTGTTAATTCTATAACTCTCTAAAACCTTCCAGCAAAAAATTCTCATGTCACTAGACATTAGCAACCATTAGGTTTCATCATTAGGGTAGGATATAGCAAATTACAGGCCCTCTAGTCATCCGCCTGTTTTTGTATAGCTCAACAGCTAAGAATGATTTTAACACATTTAAATAGCTTTTTTAAAAAATCAAAAGAAGACTATTTCATGACATATGAAAATTATATGAAATTTAAGTTCCAGTGTCCATAAAGTTTTGCTGGAACACTGCCACATTCGCTTGTTTACAAAGTGTCTATGGCTACTCTGTTCTACAGCAGCAAAGGTCTGAGCATTAAAAAGAGCCAGTATGGCCTACAAAACCTAAAATATTTAGTATTCAGCCCCTGACAGAAAAAGTTTGCCAACCACTGCCTTAGGACCTACATTACTGTCAGTCTTCAACACTACTATTATTTTACTTCTTAGAGAATTCAATATACATCTAGACAATCTTTTATAACCTCCAGTCTCTCTGTTCCTTGACAGCCTCTCTTCCAATGATCTTCTCTTCTGCCCCACATGAGCCCCTCATGACCTGATCACATCCTAGATTCTGATACGATTAAATAATCTCAAACCTTCAATAATTTCCATTTTATACATCATACTCTTAAATACCACTTCATATTTCTAATTCACTCTTTACTACTTCAACAATCTTTGGGGTCTTACTAAGTTGCCCAGGCTGGTCTCAAACTCAATCAATCCTCCTGCCTCAGCCTCCCAAAGTACTGAGATTACAGGCATGAGCCACTGTGTGCAGCCTTCAACAATCCTTTAATTTCACAGAAAACATTAACCAGTATATACTACCCCTCATCTATTGTCCTCATTTCCCTACCCATTGGGTTTAAATATGATCCATCATTATAACCCCCCTGGCATTTACCCTCACTCATTCGCTATATTAGATGGTAAAATAACAACCTGACCAAATCCTACTTTGTGCCCACATCCATAGAGATGGACAAGAACAGAGAAAAACAAAAAGCTGTGTAAATCTGCCTCACTTTTAAGTCTTGACCATGAACCTCAGGTGGAATATTGTGACTACCCAGAAATCACAGTAAACATCGTCGCAATTTTCTTTTGCATTATTATAGTTAACTATCTCATGCCTTTTTTTCTTCACTCAAATCTAATACTACTCAAATCATCACAACTAAAAGCATTGCTTTTTACTGAAAAAACTCTGGATTTATCAAAAGATATTTTCCCCAAAATCCCATCCCTTCTCATATTCTAGGGGACATCACTGTAGCAATATTCCTGTCTACCATTTCATTACTCCTCCTCTCTATTGAATCATTCCTATTAGTGTACCTAACATCCTATTATTTATGTTATTTTAAAAATACCCTTCATTATCTCCACTTCCCTATTCTTCTGCTCCTCTTCATAGCAAAGCTCCTCATTTATACACACTGTCTGACTTTTCTATCCCATTCTCTCTATAAAGCACTCCAATCAGGCTTGTGCCTCAATCAGTACTTTAAAACTGTTAAAGGTCAGTAATGACCTCCAAATGACTAAATCAAAGGGCTAGTCCTTAATGTATGACACAGTTCACTTATCCCCACCTTTCTTTAACTTGGCTTCCAGCACACCACATCCTCTTAGTTTTCTTCCAAACTCTGGTCTCTTCTCAGTCTCCTTTGTTGGTTGTACCTCCTCTTCCAGACCTTTCAACACAGGAGGTCCTGGGCCTCCTAAGGCCTATTCTCTTTTCTACCTGCACTCACTTCTCCCTTAGTGGTATCATTCAGTCTTGTGACTTTAAATAACTCCATATGCATACAATTCCCACATTTAATATTCAAAGTTGAGACCTCTTTTCTGAATATCAGACTAGGTAGGTATTCAGCTGGCTAGTCAGTATATCTACTTAGATGTCTAATATTAATAGATATATCTCAACCCCAACATATCTGTGGAAGGCAGGACAGCACCCCTCAACTAAGATGTCCACATTCTAATCCCTGAAACCTGTGAATATGTTATATTACATGGCAAAAGGGGCTTTGCAGATGTAATTAAACTTATGGATTTTAAAATAAGGACGTTATCTTGGACTTTTCAGGTAGACCCAATCTAATCACATGAGTTTAAAAGGAGAACTTTCTCCAACTAAAAGCAAAAGACATGCAAAAAAAATTCCAAGTATAAGAGGAATTCAACATGCCATTGCTACCTATGAGATGGAGGGGATCATGTAACACATGGCACAAGGAAATAAAGAGAGGCTCTAGAAGCCAAGAGCTGATCCCCACCTGATAGTCAGCAAAGAAATGGGCACCTCAATCCTACAACCAATCACAAGGAATCGAATTTTGCCAATAACCTGACCAAGCATATAAGCAGATTCATTCTGCCAATAACCTGACTAATGGTAGAAACAGATTCTTGCAGATAAGAACCCAGACCATCCAACACCTTGATTTTGGCCTTGAGAGACCCTAATTAGAGGAAATAGCTGAGTCCACCGAGACTTCTGGCCTACAAGATGACAACTAGTAAGTTTATGTTGTTTTAAACTGGTATATTGTAGTAATTTCATCTGCAATAGAAAACTAAAACCGTATCCCAAACTGAATTCCTCTCTTTCCCCTCAACCTGGTATGCTCCCCCATCTTTCCTGTCTTTGTTAACAGTAACTCTGTATCTTCTAGTGATCTGACCCAAAATCTTTGGAATCATCCATGGATTCTCTCTTTTTCATATGCCTCTAACTTACCTGTAAGAAAATCATGTGGGCTCAACCTTTGATTTCAGAATCTGATCACCTATCACTACCTCTATTGTTACCGCCATCTCTCTCTGGATGACTAAATACCTTGCTAATGGCCTCCCTGCTTCCATTCTGACTTTCCATAGCCTGTCCAAAACAAAGCAGCCAGAGGTCCTTTCAAAATAAGTCAGACCACATTACATCTCAATTCAGAAACCCCCAACAGCTCACTTTTCGATCAAACTAAACACAAAGTCCTCACACTGGTTTATACAGCTTTGCATAATGGGCCCCTCACCCTAGACTCATCTCCTACTGCAGTTCTTGACTTGCTTATTCTGTCCCAGTCTCCCTCTATTTTCATATTAACCACAAGATAATAATTCTAATAATACTTAATAATTACTAATTCTCACTATGAACCAAAAACTGTTCTAATTGCTTTACATGTAGTCTATCATTCAATTTCATTAATAATTTCCCCCGCTTTACAAATGATAAAATTGAGTTACACCAAGGTTAATTAACCTAAAGACTCAATCAGTAAGTGGCAAGGTCAGAATTCAAAATCTCAGGTGAATGAAGTCCACCCACAGCCAAAATTATCTGTCTCAATGATGGTTCCCACTTGTTATCCTTACTTAACAACAGGCTTTGGAGACAAGCACAGAATAAACAGAAGGTAGAATAAGGTAAGAAATGAGAATTCAGGCTAGGAACAGTGGCTCTCGCCTGTAATCCCAGCACTTCGGGAGGCCGAGGCCGGCGGAACACAAGGTCAGGAGATCGAGACCATCATGGCTAACACAGTAAAACCCCGTTTCTACTAAAAATACAAAAAATTAGCCAGGCGTGGCAGCACGCGCCTGTAGTCCCAGCTACTCAGGAGTCTGAGGCAGGAGAATCACTTGAACCAGGGAAGTGAAGGTTGCAGTGAGCTGAGATTGTGCCATGGCACTCCAGCCTGGGTGACAAAGCGAGACTCTGTCTCAAAAAAAAAAAAAAGAGAGAGAGAGAGAAATGAGAATTCTAGGCCGGGTGCGGTGGCTCATGCCTGTAATCCTAGTACTTTGGGAGTGCTGAGGCAGGCGGATCACCTGAGGTTAGGAGTTCAAGATAAGCCTGCCCAACATGGTGAAACCCCGTCACTACGAAAAATGCAAAAATCAGCTGGGCATGGTGGCAGGTGCCTGTAATCCCAGCTACTTGGGAGACTGAGGCAGGAGAATCGCTTGAACCCGGGAGGCCGAAGTCACAGTGAGCCAAGATTGCGCCACTGTACTCCAGCCTGGGCAGTAAGAGAGAAACTCCGTCTCTCAAAAAAAAAAAAGAAAAAGAAAAAGAAAAAAAAGAAAGAAAGAAATGAGAATTCTAAGTTATGTGGTTGAAAATGATATGTGGTTGAAAAGCTGGGAAAAGTTAGGGAATGAAAACAGTGTTTAGAGGTGAAAATCAGCAAAATACCTACTTATTACATAAAACAAAATATGATTCTTAAAACTTACTTTTTCTGTAGTAACAGTCAGGGATGGAACCAATGCAGGTGATGGTTCGGGCTGCTTCTTGTGTTTTTGTTTGTGTTTGTCCTTCTCTTTATATTTCTAAAAACGAATATAAGTAAAATCCAATTTAAATTTGAACTATAACCCCATATATGCAATAATTTTTTTATAACTAGTAATTTAAAATATTAACAAATACTTCTATCAAAAATCACTTTCTCTGATCATCGTGTTGTTTTACAAACAAGTAATACTAGTGTGAGTTTCTTTTTAAGTAAGTTCAGCTCTTTTATTCTTGATCAGTCTAAAATAATACTAATAAACAACTGAAGTCTGTAATTATTTGCCACATTTACATTCAGCAAAATATATACTTTTTCTTCTTAAAAACACCAAATACGGCTGGGCATGGTGGCTCACACCTGTAATCCCAGCACTTTGGGATGCTGAAGTGGGCGGATCACGAGGTCAGGAGTTCGAGACCAGCCTGACCAACATGGTGAAACCCCATCTCTACTAAAAATACAAAAACTAGCCGGGCATGGTGGCGAGCGCCTGTAATCCCAGCTACTCAGGATGCTAAGGCAGGAGAATCGCTTGAACCCAGGAGGCGGAGGTTGTGGTGAGCCGAGATCGTGCCACTGCACCTGAGCCTGGGCAACAGTGTGAGATTCTGTCTCAACAACAACCAAAAAAAAACCACCAAATACTTTTGTGAACAATTAAAAATAGCACTTTAAAGTTTACATAGCACTTCACATCTGAACAGTACCCGATTTTTCTCTACCACGAGAATTTCTCCAGAAACTAGAGGCACAGAAACTCCAGCAAAAAATTCTTTCCTGGGTTTACTCAAAAAATAGATGAATTAGTTATCTCTAACAACAACAACAACAAAATTAGATAAAGTTAGGGTGTGCTCTAAAGTGCTAAAACTGATGAGCTAAATATAAAAAGGAATTCAATAAAATAAAAAATTAATTACATATTGCAAGTCAAACTTAATGTCAGATAATTTTAACCAAAATGTTCTATTGTGTGAATCACTAACTACTGTAGAGTTATACAGGTTAGAGTAGAAATTGCCCTAGACTGTGCTATAGGATTCAGCTCTTAATCCTACCCCTTAATTCCCGAAAATTCTGAGAATATAACCGAAAGTCCCAAATCTGAAGAGAGGCAATTTTATGTGTTCTTACCTACTAAACTACTTTTTCTGCCTAAAGAGTAGTATTAGCTTCAGGGGAGAAACAGGAAAAACTGAAGGTGAGAGGAGGAAAAGTGAAGAGGTGCTAACTGGAAGTAAAGTATCAAGGCTAAGAACTAATTTCATAAAATCCTAGCAGGCCCAGTGTAGTGCCTCTCCTCCGTAATTCCAGTGCTTTGGGAGGCCTAGGTGAAAGAATCACTTGAGGCCAGGAGTTAGACATCAGCCTGGGCAACATAATGAGAACCCATCTCCACAAAAAGCACAAAAATGAGTTGGGTGTGGTGGTGCAAATTTGTAGTCTTAGCTACTGGGAGGTTGAGGCGGAGGACCCAGGAGGTGGAGGCTGCAGTGAGCCATGATCATGCCACTGCACTCCAGCTTGTGGGACAGAGTGAGACCATGTCTCAAAAGTTACAATTAAAATAAAAAATAAAACAGAATCCTAGGGTATTCCCCATGAGACTAAGATACACCTGAACACCTGAGATATAGAACCTGGTGCAAGACATTTAATAACGTACTGTGTTAAAAAAGGGAGCCCAGCCTGGAGTTATACCAAAAAGTGCATACTGCCCTAAGCCAAGCTCTTTATACTGCACCCCTCCTCCCAAGCTTTTATACTGTACCCCTCCCATTCCCACAGGCTTCAGAAAAATGCAAAATACATAGCCCTTAAACCATCATCTCAAAAACAATGAGAAAATTTTCAAAACATTACCTACATTATAATGGAATAAGTGTCAAAAGTGAGTCTATCAAGCATAAACAACATTCTAAAAATTGTACGGCAAAGAAACTACAGGCAAAAAAAAATACAGAGTCTAACGTGCATGAGATAGCCAAAAATCACAACCTAGAAGCATACAGAACTGAGTATGAAGATATTTCTCAAAACTGTCCGCATGCCAAATAAAAAATATAACATGAGTTCAAACAAAGCTCAAGAATGAGATAAAATAGGAAAAGGTAAGAAGGGAGATAATCAAAGTAATAAATTTAAGATGAAAACTGTATCATTACAGAATAAGCAAATACAATAGAAACAGCAAGGAAAAGAATACGCATTGCCGAAAATTTTTAAAGTGTTAAAAGAAAGGTTTGAAATAATCACAGTAATGCAAATTTTAAAAAAGGTATTAAAGCAGGCACACAGCATCTGATAGGTATAAAAAACAGAGATAATCAAACATAAGGATAACATGTGTCCCTCAAGCAGATAATTCAATGAGTGGGGAACAGAAGGTATATTCAAACATAAAATTCCATAAAATGAAAATGGAAAAAAAAAATTCTGAACAATTCTGTTACAGATTGTGCAGCACCAAGACTTACTGTAGTTAAACTTAGCAGAATACAGGGAGAGGGAGGTGTCGTTAGTCATCTCCACAGCAATATTCCAGGACCATTACGTTTTTAGGAGAAATAAAATGTGACCCAACAATATTATATACAGCCAAGATACAGTTCAAAAATTAAGGCAAAAGAAAATGCCCTCCATTATGAAAGAAATCAGAGAACACAAGTCCTAACAACTTATTCTTGAAAAAAGTTAATAATAAAATTCAGCCAATTTAAGAGGTACAATGAACTTACTGGAGAAGCTGTGGTAAAAAGACTAATAGTGAGCAGCTAACAAATTTAAATACAAAACAAATACCTACACAACTATGAGGATTATGTTTACATAAGAGAAAGTCGCTACCTGAAAAAATATAAATGTCTTCAAAAACAAACAAAACCCTGGCAGGGCATGGTGGCTCACACCTGTAATCCCAGTACTTTGGAAGGCCAAGGTGGGCAGATTACTTGAGGTCAGGAGTTCGAGATCAGCCTGGTCAACATGGTAAAATCCCGTCTCCACTAAAAATACAGAAATTAGCTGGGCATGGTGGCATGTGCCTGTAGTCCCAGCTACATGAGAGGCTGAGGCAGGAGAATCGCTTCAACGGGAGAGGCAGAGGTTGCAGTGAGCCGTGATCGCACCACTGCACTCCAGCCTAGGTGACAGAGTGAGACTCTGTCTCAAAAAAATAAATAATGAACAAATAAAAATTAAAACAAACAACCTGGATAGCAGGAGAAGCAAAATGACTATAGGGATACTAGCAGCCTTCACTGTAGAAGCTCAATATAAAATCTGACGCATGTAATTAAAACAAAACATAAGTATGCCAAACAGTGACTAAACATAAACCTCTTTCTTGCTGACAAAGTCCTGATTTCTTAAGAAAATTCACGATCACCTTCTCATGTCCTCATAAAAGTGTATCTATTCCCCAGCCTAGAGGCAAACATGGAAGAGTCCAAGGCAATTAAAAGGAATTTTTAAAAACCATTCTCTTTAGCCACTGACTGCTTTAGGCCTGGAATAGGTTTCAATCAGGATAATAAAACAGAAGTTAAAATTTTCTTTCTTTTTTTTTTTTTTTTTTGACAGAATCTTGCTCTATTGGCCAAGCTGGAGTGGCACAATCTTGGCTCACTGCAACCTCCGTTTCCCAGACTCAAGCAATTCTCCTGCCTCATCCTCCCAAGTAGCTGGGATTACAGGCACGTGCCACCACGCCCGGCTAATTTTTGTATTTTTAATCAAGACAGGGTTTCACCATGTTGGCCAGGCTGGTCTTAAACTCCTGACAGCAGGTAATCTGCCCACCTCAGCCTCCTGAAGTTCTGGGATTACAGGCGTGAGCCACCGCTCCTGGCTGCTGCTGCTTTTTTTTTTTTTAAACGGAGTTTCGCTCTTGTTGCCCAGGCTGGAGTGCAATGGCATGATTTCAGCTCACTGCAACCTTCGCCTCCGGGTTCAAGCCATTCTCCTGCCTCAGCCTCCAGAGTAGCTGGGATTACAGGCGTCCGCCACCACGCCCGGCTAATTTTTTGTATTTTTTGTAGAGACTGGGTTTCACCATGTTGGCTAGGCTGGTCTCGAACTCCTGGCCTCAAGTGATCTGCCCGCCTCACCTCCCAAAGTGCTGGGATTACAGGGTGAGCCACTGCAGCAGGCCAGATGTTGAAATTTTCTAGCTGTTCTCCTCATTCTTAAAGGTTTTCCCTTCCTGCCTTTAGATGCTCAAGTGTTAGACCATGATCCTCAGAACAACTGCAGTGACCTGGCAACCATGACTGCAAAAGTCAAGAAAATCACAAAAAAGTCAACAATGCTGTGCTACAGCTGAATTGGCTATTGTTAAATTAACCAATCTTAGAAAAGCCTAGCATCTGAACCTTCATGAAGTAATAAATTTCAAATTGCTTTAGCCACTCTGATTTGAGTATTCCATCACTTACAGCTAAAAAGCACCCCAACTAGAAAGACAGTCTTACCTCTTCAACGTCTTGTTTGCTTTTGTAATTTCTATTATTAAACATAAAGGTATCTTTGAGGAAATAGTATTTCTTGTGGTAAAGGAGGAAAAAGTTTTTTTGATCTCATTCTTTCACCCAGGTTGGAGTGCAGTGGTATGATCATAGCTCACTACAGCCTCAAACTCCAGGCTCAAGGCATCCTCCAACCTCAGCCTCCAGAGTAGCTGTGATGACAGGCACATACCACACATTCAGCTAAATTTTGTTGTTGTTGTTTTTGTACAAAAAGGGTTTCTTTTCCCTCTATACAGTCAAGTAAATCTGCCTTTGGTGTTTAAAACATCACTAGGTTTCACTCAATTTAATAATTTTTTTCTATCCTTTTTATGTATGTATGTATATCTCTATGCATAGAAAAAATCTGTGATATTTGCTTAGTAGTAAGTGATAGCTATTTCTCAATGGTGAGATATGTAGTGGGATTTTGTTTTTTAACTTTCATTTTTTAAATGCTCTGTCTTCTGTCATTCTCTGTAATTACATACAAATTAACAAGAATGGGCGAAAATGAGGTAGAGAC